GGACCCCTCCCCCACCAACCAATCAATCAATCAATCAATCAATCAATCAATCAACCAATCAATCATTCAATCAATCAATAATAAAAAACAGTCAATCAATTTTTTTTTATTTTTTTTTTCTATTTTTTTTTTTTTTGGTAGCCTTCGAAATCCACCCCCCCATTTTCGAAGTTTTTATGTTTTTTTTTTTGCGAGGAGGTAGGGGGACCCCCCCGGACTCGAAACCCGTTCCCCGCCCTCCAAACCCCCTCCCTGATCGGCCGCGGCCGGAGGGGGCCCGGCCACGGCCACGGCCGAACTCGACTGCGGCCAGGGGGTAACATAGGCCACCAACCTTGTTTGGGAGGTTACCGACTAAAACGCGGACGGTTAGATGGGGGACCTCCTCTTCCTCCCACTTGGCAGTGGCCATTGCCACCAACCCCTTGGCAGCTCTGTCCTTGGCCACCCTGGGCCCAGCCATTCTGGCTGGACCTTTGTCCTCCTCCTTGCAGCCTCCCTACGGCCGCAACAGCAGCGTAGGTTCTCCCCTGACCAGCGCTACTGTCCTGCTCCTCTAGTCCCCACTCGATGTCACAGTAGGAAACCTCTTCAGGACCACCTTCTTTCATTGTTAGTATTAAACTATCTTTGGCCTTGATTTGGCCAGAGATGGTGCGTCCCTTCCACGTTTTTCCTTGTGACAGATCCTTGGTAACTGGCGACGCTTGGGCGGCAAATGCAACTGCCCCCCGAATGAGAGTGTCGTAGGTCGTACCCTGCTTATTCTTTTTCTCAAAGAAATGTCCCTGAATGTTGTCAGGAAGGGCACGATAAAAGAGTTGGATTAGTTGGGCGTCGGTTACTCCATGCCCAGGAGCAACAATTAGTTTATCCATAGCAGATTTAAGGGCATGTACACTCCTCCACTTCCGCGTGTGGATCGTTTGGAGTTTGTCGGAGGCTTTGAGCCCCCGCGTCACATCTGAGAATCGCTCCTTGAGCGATTTCAGGAACTCGGAGAGGGGTGTCGGTCTAGAATAAGTGACCATATCGTTCTCACAGTTGGCAGCGCGGGCGAGCGACCTGGTAAAACTGGTCGCCTCATCTCGAAGGGCCTGGAAGGCCACCGACGTGTGGTCCTCAGGCATGACTCCCTATAAGTAAAGATAGGAGTGCACGTTGGCCTCCCATATGTCGAAATCCTCCCCCTTCTTTCCACTGAAGGGTTCGGGGGAATGGACCTTGACTTTCTCACGGCGTGGTGGGGCCGACTCCTCTTCCTTAGGAGTCGCTAGCTTGGCGCCTTCAATGGCACTAGTGCATAATTCTTTCGTCTTACTAATTGTCAGGTGGACCTCGTCCACCAGGTACTTCATCATGTCGCGCGCAAAATCTTTAAACCCAGCACGTATCGCATGTATCTTTACATCTAAGTTGCGCATGTCCTGTGTTTGCTCGCGATGTGCAATTAGTAAAGATTTCACACTTTGGATCAGGGTATCGAGCTTAGTGGCTATCTCGGTCTCTTCCCTGATTTTTCCCATCCTGGTCTCTGCCGCTTTTAGGTATCTTTCTGATCGCTCTGCCACCTCCAAACGCCTAACTCTTTCTTGGGATAAACGCCAGTTCCATGCCCTTTGTTGTTCCTACTCTTTCGCCTTTCTCCTCACCGGGTCCCTTTCTACTTCTAATGCTCTCCTTGCCGCCTCTCTCTCTTCTTGGGGTATGGCCAGTTCTGCCTCTCTGTCTTCCCCCAACTCCAAGTGTACAGTCCATTCTTGTTTTATCTTCTCAGTCTCCTCCTTACAATTTCGCACCTCAACACGTAGACCGTACAGGTTAACTTGTTTTTAGCGGGCTTGTACTCTCTACTTGGGTTGGATTCCCAACTCTTCAGTCACATCCACGGAGTCCTACATACCTGGACAGAAGAGAAGGGAAGGTATGATTGACA